ATACAAAAAAAATTAGCTGTGCGTGGTGGTGCACCCCTGTAGTCCCAACTACTCTGGAAGCTGAGGCAGGAGAATCGCTTGAATCAGGAAGGCAGAGGTTGCAGCGAGCTAAGATCATCCCACTGCACTCTAGCCTGGCAACAAAATGAGACTGTGTCTGAAAATTAATTAATTAATTAATTAAAAAAATAAATAAATAACCAGGGACAGAGGTCTTTCATGTGCAAAGGCCAGATGGCTTATCTGCTGCAACTTCATGCAGGCAACAGTGATTTCCAGTTCTCACAAACACAAAATCCTTCACTTTGAAGCCAGCCCACAGCCATTTCCACCATTTTCTTTCCTTTCAGCAAATGTGTGCTGTCTTCTGAGTCTGCTTGTCCGCTCCCTGGATGTGTCACCTTGGAAGGTTTATTTATCTCCTCTGATCCCAGTCATTTTCCTGATTTGAAAAATACATCAGTGGACAGGAGAACGTGTGAAGACTGAATGAACTAATGCAGTGAATAAACTTACAGCAACGACTGGCACAAAGTGAGTTTCCAATGAGAGACGGAGATATTATTATTCTTCTATTCATAACTCTCTTTCAAGTTCAGTAATTCTAAACTTTTAAAATATAAGCTTTTTTATCATTGAGGTCTGGCAAGGCCAACAGATCAGGAGACAAGTGCCGCTGAAGAGATAGTTCATTACTCACAGGTCCCAAGAGGACGGGGTGCACTACATGGGGGCAGTGCATACAGGGAAGCGTCAGGGTCAGTCTGGAGGTGGGTGCGGGACCAAAGCACGAGTAAGAGCCTTTACTGTGGTTTCTATGGGGAACACAGGCAAGGCAGGATACGCAGGCTTAGGACTGGCTGGTTTGAATCATTTCAGGGCTCTCAGGCCTTAGGGGCTGTCCTCAGCTGTCTGGTCCCTGTCCTCGGGTGATTAGGGAAGGGAACACTGGCCCAGAGTGTGAAACCCCATAGAGGAGGTGGTGGGAGTAGGCTGTGGTTTGGTTGTTTTGCATATGAAAGGCAAGCTCTCAGACGAGTTGTGTGTGATCTCTGGGAATTAGCTACCCACTTCACACTTCATACCATCAAAGTATGAAGAAAAGAAAAGGCATGGTGAATACATAAACTCTCCTTCCATACCTTAGGAGACCTGCATATCTGAGTTCACATTAGGCTTCTCCTCACCCACCTTTCCCCAAATCCTCAAAGCCATTACATAGGACCTCTTGCAAATATACGGTCTCCCAGATAGTAGAGGCCAGCTCAGGGCAAAAAGAAATGCTCAGAAAAGTCTGTTGCTTTCTTCTTCTTTCTGAAATCCAGAGGCATCAGTCCTGCCATGGTTCACACCAACACTGAACCCTTGCCTGGAGGTGAAGTGAGAGACTGGCCTCCAAGAGTGACACAGACAGACAGTAAGGCAGGCCCAGCATTCATTTTTCAAGATATATTATTTCAAGATATTTCCCTTTAGTGAGATGTGGTAGTGATAGTTAATGATGGCTCCTCTTCCTGCTCAGAGTTCAGAAAGAATCCAGAAAGAGACAAAAACATCAGGTTTGTTGTGAGTGAAGCAGAACTGGAAACATTTTGCGTCTGGGGACATAATAGAGCATTTACATCCTCCCCTCCAATTGCCCTTTCCCACGGGCTGACAGACAGACCACTGCAGACCTCTCCATAGGGAGGGAAGAAGGAAGTGTACGGCCCTGGATAGGCTGTTCTGGAAAAGAGACCACCTCAATGATAGGAGCCATCCGGTTCCAGCTCCTTCCCGCAGTTTCACATCCGACCCCATGCTCCCCTCCCTTGGGGATGATGAGTGCGGGGCAAGGAAAGGAAGGGAGGGACTTCTTTTTTATTAGCATGGGCCAACCTGGGATGATGGGGAGAGGAGAGAACAATGTTTCCTACAAATGTATGAGTAGTTACTGAGGGCAGGGCTTTGGGCTGGGTCCTGTGGCTGCAGAGATCAATTAGGCAACTCTCCTTTCCTAATACTCATGGGCTGGCAGGGGAAAGAAAGGAGCCTTTGAAACAAGTCACTCTTGGCCACTGCAGTTCACATTTGGTATGTATTAAAGGGGACAATGCTGTGGATATTCCAGATTTGTCTAATCTCACAGTTGCCTAATCCCACTTCCTGAGACCTCCAGCAGGATGGCTGTCCATCAACACACACACACACACACACACACACACACACACACCCACCCCTGATAGTCCACGGTGTAAACCAGGTTCTCCCAGAATCACAGAAAGGCCATTTTAAAAAGCGACATTGAGCTCTTTTTATGTGCTGGTCTGCAGACATTCAAAGAAGTATTAAGTACAATGCTTGCCTTTTAGAAATGAAAGAAAATGTAAAACAAGATCAACATTATTTCTAAGGTAACCATGATACAGGCAAGTCTGTGGTAAATTTGTACAGAAAATGCAGGTAATGAGAAGAAGGAAAAACTATCAGAGACTGGCATCATGCACACAGGCTTCCTGGAGGAGTTGGGTCTCTGTCTAGACTTTGAAGAATGTGTCTAGACAGAGAAAGAGAAAATTTCCAAAGAAAAGAAACAGCTACTTGAAAATCCCTGGTACAGGAGGGTTAAAGGCACATGGGGAAGGCCTCAAAGTTGGGTAGGTATTTCATCAAGGCATGGGCAACATGTGAGTGTGGCTACTTCTCAGACTGTGGATAGCAGTTTGCTGGCTTTTCAAGGTCAGAAGGGACTTCCACTCGGCCAGCTGACAGCCTGATGACCTCCAATCTCTGGCCTCAGAGGGTGGGCATACTGGAGGAATGCTTAACACATCTGAGGCCAGAGGAGAAAACACACAGAATCCTTCAATGGCCCAAGCAAGCCTGAGCCTGGCAAAGACTTTGCAGTCAGATCCGCCACGCTGCTGCATTTGCTACCTCAGCTGGCTGCTGTCACTGAGTCCCACTGGGCACAGAGACAATCCCATTGACACACTCCTGCCTCTCTTACAGGACAAGAATGGAAATGGCAGCACACAGTAGTCACCTCAAAACCACTTTCAAAAGGAGAGCCCGCACTGTTGTGTCCCCAGGACACCAGGGACTGCATGGGCACCTTTTCTGTGCTCCCTATCATCACCTAGGCAACCCACCTATCCTTCCTTGGTGAAGATGAGCCTCTACCTTTTGTGTATTCTCCCTTTGTGTTTTCATCTCACATGCCCTTCCTCGTCTGAAGTCTTGTGTTGAGGACAAAGCAGCCTAAGACGACCGATGCAGTCTAATAAACTGCACCAAGACAAGTGCTCAGCAGCAAATCTATTTTCCTGACAGTTGTAAGATGCAATCTCCTTGTTGTTGGAGGGTGTCATGCACAGGGCTGGGCTCCTCCAGTCTGCACATCCTCCAGAGCATTGCAGTGTGACAGCCTTCATTAGAAGAGAAACTAACCCCTGGACAAAATATTGCCACCCTGGAAATTCGGCTCTGTGGGGTGCCATGAATATCTTACCTTCTGACAAACAAGTTTCCTCCAGAACTGACATATTCTTGGCCATGTGACATGATCTAAACTAAGTTTCCTGGTGGTTTTTTTTCTCTTTTTAATTGAGGTTTTGCCTGACAATCTAGAAACTGAACACACTCTGACAGGTGATGCTATTTGAAGCATTTGTTACCGTGAGGATAGGAGGAGGCGTGAGGCGGGGCCCCTAGCAAATTCACCTCCCTCTGTCCCCAGAGAAAGTTTCTGAGCTTCGTGGAGCTCATGTGCCTCAAGTGCATGGCTTTTGCCTTTCCCTTTTCCTGTGACACAAGTACACCTGTGGTAGCAAACGGGTCTGGAACACATGTGCTGCGGCTGAGAATCCAGCAAACCATACCTGAGTGTGCACTGTGTGCCTGGCACTGTGTTCCACCTGGGATGTGCATGTTTGGTTTAATCCTCCCTACCACCCCGAAGGATAGGTATATTTCTGTCCACATTGCACAGATGTGGAAACTGGGTAACTGAAAGGCTAAGTGCTAAGATCGCTGAGCCAGTCTGTGACTCTAGCAGAGGCACTTATCCAGGGGAGATTTGGTCCCTCACCTCTGTCCTTTAAAAAGTGGGCAGATTGGCCAGGAGGAGCCAGACTCGCGTTAAATACCTGTGCTGTTTGATTTCCTTTTATTTTTCTGATATTTGTTCTCCTTAGAAAAAGAAATGGACCAGGAAAGGTAGATGGAAATCTCCTTTAAATCGAAAAATGATCCTAACGCATAGAATCACTGGAAGCACTTACATTGACATGGAGAAGGAAGGGGTCGTCATCACGTGGATGTCAGCTCTCTTAGCAGCTTGTTTGTGCCCTACCTACATCTGAGTGCCTCGAATCCACCTTCATGACAAGTAAAACAGGGGCCTCAGAAAGCAAGGGGAGGGGAAAGGGAGTTGGAGCGCCTCCTCGCCATTGTAGAGAAGGCCTTGCTGCAAGCATCACTTCAGATTTGCCTCTGCTTGTGCATAAAGACACAAAAAGAATGAAGCAGACAAACATTCTCATGGACCCGCAGAAAAAACAGACTGCATTTTGCAAGTTTTCCCATTTTCCCCGGAAATGTTATGCTCTAAAGAGCCTGGTGCTCAGCTGCAGGGAAGTGTTTGTGGTGTCCAAGTAGTGACTGCTGCCCAGACAGAGGAACTACTTGCACGTCCATTCACCCAATCCCATCCACATCTTTTCCCAGGGTACCCAGGCTCATAAACTCCAGCAGATCTCCACCTGGGCGTGCTGGGGTCTGTGCCATAAGAGGCAGCATGTGGTAGAAAGGGGCTCAAATGAGAGTTAGCAGGCTTCAGTTGAGTCCGTCTCTGCCACTTCCAAGTCGGGTTAACTGGGTAAGCTAGGAGACGCTAAAACCCTGGCAACATCACGCAGGGTGCGTGTGAAGAACAAATGCAGTGGAGCTCAATAAAGGGCTTTGTGAGCTCGAAAGCACAATTCGATGTCACCCCTTCCCTGACTAGCACGTGGACTCCCCAGGTTGGACCCCCTTTCCCTCTCCCCTGCATGTCCACTGCGGGCCTCAGTGTGTCTGGCGGGCAGGTAAGTGCCCAGGTCGCATACAGCCCTGGGACCTCTGCAGAGGTGGCTGCGAGGAACCACGCTTCCTTCTTTGTATCCAAGTCATCCTTCCACAAGTACAGGACCTCTTTTTTGTTCTCAATCGAGAATATTAGGAGAGTTCTCTACTCTCACTATGGTAGCTCCCTTGCCTGTCCCATGCACCCTGGCAGGAGGTCAGTGAGGGCAGGATGGGGAGACCAATCTCTCTCTCTCCCTGACTCTCCACCACTCTCCCCCACGCTACCCCCATCTCTCTCTGCCTTTGTGTATGTCGGTGCTTCTCTGCCTGGCCACTGTCTCTCCCTCTCTCTCTGCCTCTCTCTGTCTGCCTTTGTCTCTCCTCTCCCTCTCTCCCTGCCTCTCCCCACTTTCTCCCTTTCTCTCCCTCTGCCTCTCCCTCTCTTTCTCCCCTGTCTCTGCCTCTCTTTCCCTCTGCTTCTCCCTCTCTCTCTCTCCTCCCGTCTCTTCCTCTCTGTCTGTCTGCCTTTCTCTCTCTCTCTGCCTCTGTGTGCATGTTTGTGCTTCTCTGCTGTCCCCTGCACTGTCTCTCCCTCTCTCTCTGCCTCTGTGTCTGCCTCTCTCTCTCTCCCTCTTTCTCTCTATGCCTCTGTGTGTGTGCTTCTCTGCCCCACCTCTCCGCTGTCTCTCCTTCTCTCCCTGCCCCTCTGTCTCGGAGGCTCCCTCTCTCTCTCTCTACCTTTCTCTCTCTCTCTCTCTCTCTCTCTGTGTGTGTGTGTGTGTGTGTGTGTGTGTGTGTGTGTGCGCGCACGCGCACGCGCGCAGGCTACAGCACTTGCTTCTCTGGCCGCCCCCCCTTCTCCTGCTGTCTCTCCCTCTGTCTGTCTCCCTCCTTCTCTCTCTGTTTTTCTCTCTTTCTCTCAGTCTCCTTCTTTCTCTCCCTTCCTCCCTCCCTCCGCAACCACCACCCTCCAAGCACGCTCCCATTCCAGCTGCCACTGTGAGGTGAGCACAGTCTCCACCTGCTTCAGGGGTGTGCTGCACAGAGTGGGGAATCTGGCCCGGGAATTTCAGTTTGCTGTTGAGACATTTGGCTGTGGAAATGGCTGTTCCACTCAAGAGTGAGCACTTCGTCATAGAGACAGCATCTGTTTTGCCTCATGGGGAAAGCAGAATGATAGTTATTCTTTTTATTATGAGAACACCAGGCTGTGCCAAGTACATTATTCCCATGCAGGGGAATTTTACTAACACCATTGCCCTCCCTCCTCCTCCCCATCCCGTTCCTGCCCAGCATTCTCCCTCTCCCATGACAGTGTCTTTCCCCAGCATGAGATTGCAAATGTCCGTTCCTGGCATCACACTTATGAAGGGGAATGAGAAGACATTTACCATTTTTATTAATTATATTCTGGGATTTTAAAAAAAACAAATTCACTTCAATTCTAAGAGACTATAGAATCAAATTCATCATGAAAGACTCCCATGATCACCAGGTCAGTTTTAGATTGATAATGGACCTGTCACTCTGCCATTTCCACCCAGGAAAATCAAAGTGCGAATTTGAGGGACCGTCTGTATGTCCAAAATGGAAAATGGCATTCATGGGACTACTTCTTTCTCTTATTTCATGTGTAACTCCTTAACAGAAAACAACTCCTGCACACGGAGGGCCTTATCAGACACGGGACAGAGGCCACAGTATTAGCCTCAAGTGCTCATAGCCTCCTTCACCAAGCCCATCCATTCTGTGCACTGTTGGCCCCAGGGGAGACGAGGCAATATTCTCCCTTCCAGGTCATCTTGGGGCCCAGACCACTAGCCGGAGAAATGATATGGAGAGAGCAGGCAGGAGCTCCCTTCCAGGTGGGAAACGCAAGGCAGGCAGCCTCCTCTAACGGCGCTGCCGTGGCTGGATTGAAATTGTGCTCACTTCCACTCAAGTGAGCAAAGCACATCTGTGTTGCGTATTTTCTACTATTGATGTTTCCTTCCTTAGTCTCCCACCCCATCAGCTCCACTGGACAGCAAGGGAAGGGAAAAGGCCTTTTCAACATGTCCATTCACAGGAAAGCAGTGCCGTAAGGCTTCCGTCTGCCTCCTTCCTCACTGCAGCTGTCATGTCAAGTGTATGCTCCTTCTTTGGCCTGTCCCGCCACAAGGGCACCCAGTGGGTGGGATACACATGGAGTTACCATGTCCCCAGGTGGGCGAGGGAGACACAGGTCACAGGTCTGTGGGCAGTCAGTATAGGCCCTGCTGTCTGGGCCCCTGCTGGCCCTTGCAGCAATGGAGTCCTCTCTGCCAGGCCCAGCTCACCTCTGCTCCCGAACCCTGCACCTGGCATCTCAAGGTCCATGTTGTCTCTGTCGGGCCTGGCATCTTTCTCAGCTGCTGACATGGCCTTGCTTTGGCTCTCTCATCTATTCTGCAGCCCTGGTGGATAGGGTCACCATGCTCCCTATGGCAAGGCCCCTGGGTGCTTACCCTCACCTAGTGGTTCTGACCTCAGCCCCTCCGTCTCTCCTCTGCTACATGGGAACTCCAAGACACCTTCCAAGATACTCAAGGTCAAAACAGACTCATGGTCAATAAATTCTGCGCCTCATCTGTCTACATACACCCACCTGCCATACCATTTATTCTGATGTGGCTGTAGGATGTTTCTGGCAGGACCCCATGCAAGATGGTGTCGGTCTAGGCCCACTGGGTGAAGGGAAAGGGCCTGTTCACTTTTAGCTTTGCTTCCATCCCATTCAATGCCACTCCCGCTTTCAAAAGTCTGCGCTCAGACTGAGGTTAATGCAGCAGACAGGATTTGGCTGCTACCTTATTCTCTCCCACAATCCACAAGCCAGACAGAGCCACTTCCCCAGGGTCATGCTCCTCCCTTCCAAAGGGGCTTCTGCCCTGTCCTCTTTCCCAGAATCATAAGGACTGTTGGAGCAAAATAAGAAAGCCAGCTTACAGGTAAGAGAAAAATCCAAAACATTCTAAGGATACTTCCTCCCCTCAAGCTTCCTACTAAATAATAATGACATACAGTTGTGGTCATTGTTAAAGAAAAAGGAAACACAGCCATCCATCTTAACATCACTGAATTTAAGTAATCAATGACTATAATAAGAAAGGAATGATTTAGGGGAAATTTATGTTGGAACTAGAAGCTCCAGAATCATATAAAACATTTAGGACCTTTCTATTTTGTAGATGAGAAAGCTGAAATACTGCAAGTTGAAATGACTCATCCTAGGTCCCAGGTCTAGTGAAGAGTGAGGACCAGAAATCACATGTACTGGGCTACCAGCAGTCAGATATAATCAGCCCCCAAATCTCCTGTGGTTCACTACAGATAAAAGAAAAAACAAAACAAACAAAAACAAGGAATATCTGACCAAAACAAGGTACATACACAGCAGGGTTCACTGGGCAAGGACAGATGCAAACCAGAGAGATTCTGAAGACCCTGAGGTCTCTAGACTATTTGGCACTGCTGTGGATTGTGTGTTTGTATCCCCTCTAAATACATATGTTAAAGCCCGAGCACCTAGTGTGATGGTATTTGGAGTTGGGCCTTTGGGAGGTGATAAGGTCACTAAA